TTATTGTTACCTTTTCCTTTTAGCCATCCTATTTGTAAAAAAAACACAATTGTATGACTTTTTATAACTGTTTATTGTTGTCGCTGTTGTCCATTGTTGTCATCTTTCTTTGTTAAATCAGGTCTCTGTTGTAGATGAGTCCTGGAGGCTCAGTGGGGTTTACCTGAATAAATAAAGGTTGATTGAATGAATCCGCGCCTTCGTCACCTCTCGGCTGGATTACTGCAGCTCTTTACCTGGAGTCGGCCAGTCCTCCCTCAGACGAGTCCAGTTGGTCCAGAACGCTGCTGCTCGGCTTCTAACTGGATTTCAGTTGATTTTTAATTCAGTTTATTTATAAAGCACCAAATCCCAACAAAGTTGTCTCAGGGACTTTACAGGAACATTCACATAGAAAAGCCAATTAGACAAGTTGAAGTTCATAACTGCCGCTCCGGCTTCACTCCACCGGCTGCCTGTTCATTTTAAGATTCTTTGAGTTGTGTTTAAAAGTTTAAATGGTCTTGCTCCGTCCAACCTCTCTGAGCTGCTTCTCCTGCTCGGTGCCTCAGATCAGCTGATCAGCTGCTCCTGGAGGTGCCGAGGTCCAAACAGAGGCTCTTCTTCTTGGGTTTTTAACGGCAGCTTTAGTTCACTATTACAAACTATTTTCATTCTCAATAATCTTCTTTGACCCACATATTTCCTGCAATTAATAAAAACATGTTCTATTGTTTCTGTGGTATTACACCAGTCACATAAACCAGTAAGATGTTTCCCCATCTTAAAAAGAGTGCCATTCAAAAAACTATGTCCAGTTCTTGTTCTATTTATAATAATCTCCTCCCTCCTATTTATTCCTCTGATTCTTTTAACATCAACTGTATTTTATATATAAATGTCTCCCTTTTGTCTCATTTCCCATAATTCCTTGCTTTCTTTCCAAACTATACTTTTGCCTTCAGATTTAGATAACTTTATTGATATATCTACTTTATTAACAGCTTCTTTAGCCAACCTATCTGCTCTTTCATTACCTAAAATACCTAAATGAGCAGGAGTCCACATTATTACTATAGTTTTGTTTTGTTCACGTATGATGAACAAACAGAATCTCATACAAGATGTGTTGCTGATTACTTGACCTTCCCTTTTCAATGCTTAATGCTGATAATGAATCCCTGCAAACTATAATTTTACTTATTCTACCATCCTCCACCCATTCTAAAGCCAATAATATAGCACATAATCCTACAGCGTATATACTCAGAAAATTAGATGTTCTTTCGAAAGCTTAATCTTTAATTCAGGAATCACTGCTGCTGCACTAGTTCCATTTTTGGATCTTTTGAACCGTCTGTATAGATTTGCAGGTAATCATTAAACTTCTTCTCTACTCGATCATAAAATTCTTGACAAATATCTGTGGTATTTCTTTTCTTAATATTTAATAACGATCTATCTACATTAATATATTTCCATGTCCATGTAGGCCGTAATACTGTTGAATTAAATTCTTTATTAAATACTTTAAATGTTCTTGCTAAATTATCCCCAATCCACCCAAAACTATTTTAAGCTCCTTTCCTCTTTCCCAACAGTTTTCTAATGATTTTCATTGTGTCCTCTCAAATGTATCCAGTAATGAACCATTAACTGCTGTCTTCTGATGCAACATGGCATTTCTCCTGATTCTTCTTGTAGAGCACATACTGGGGTTGATTTTACTGGCCCAGTGCTCCAGCTGGGATCAAACGGAGGCTCCGAGGGGACAGAGCTTTTTCTGTCGCCACTCCCAACATTATGGAAGGATCTCCCTCTTCTCATCAGACGAGCCCCTTCACTGTCCTTTTTTAAAACTCTTTAAAAAACACGTTTATTCTTTGGCTTTTGTCACAGCCTGAAACTTGCTCTGTTTTTATTGGTCTTACTGTTTTAACTGTTTCTTTTTCTTTTGTTTTAAATGTTCTTGATTTTATGTGTACAGCACTTTGTTGCAGCTGTGGTTGTTTTTAAAGACTTTATAAATTTTCATTCATTCAACCTTTATTCATACAGTATCCTGATGCGTGCTCAATAATCCAGGGTTTAT